AGAGCTTCTCTGGCGTGAGGTGGGACTGGTCAAGGACAGTATCCCCCACCTGCACAATGCCAAGGTGGAGATGACGGAGCTCCTTCTGGAAGAGTTCGGGCGACACTATCACCGTCTGAAGGGTGGGGCTTTGAACTACTCGCTGGAAAAGGTGGTCAGAGACATCGACGCCGTGATGAACCTTCGCATGGGCCAAAGACAGGCGTTGTCAAGGGCAGAAGCCAACGAGGACATGCAGGTCTCTGACAACTCATGCGTCTTGATGTGAGACTTGTTTCTGAGCAATCAGTCGCAAAACCCACGACTGCCAGTCGCAGAATTACCGACTGCCAGTCGCAGAATTACCGACTGCCAGTCGCAGAATTACCGACTGCCAGTCGCAAATCCCACGACTGCCAGTCGCAGAATTACCGACTGCCAGTCGCAAATCCCACGACTGCCAGTTAGGTGCAGTTTTGCTTGTGGAATGGTGTAGGACAGCAGTTTCCATTCCTAACACATACCTTCCCAATGCAGTTGTTGAAAACAAGAGTCGTGCAGTTTGACAGGGTAGGCTGTGCAGGAGGTTTCTGTTGAGGAGGCGAGGTCAGAGGTGCCTGAAAGATCCTTTGAGTCTAAAAATAGCCTCGCAGAAATTTAGACTACAAATCTGCGCCGAGTCTAAATTTGTAGTCTAAATAGCGCGTCTAATCTGCGAGTCTAAATCACGCAAATGCATATAAACACCTTGTTGCACCACTTGTTTTTGCATAGAAGAGCGCAGCAAGCGCGCCATTATTTGTGTTTCTCTCGTGTTTGTTTATATGCGCAGCGTGGCGGGAGGATGTGTGGCTGCGAAGCCCTGAAGTGTGAGAGCTTGAGAAAATTGTCAGAGATTTTGCGACGCACACCCATTGTATATAGGAACCACGGCCCAAAGTTTAGAAAGCCCAGAGGTACAAACTTGTGTGCAACAGTTCTCTGCCTTTTTGTACACTTGCCCTGCGCGCAGCCATTGGATTGTACACAGGACACTTGCGCCGCATGCATCTTTTGTACTGTGAGGCTTGTACTTGTGCTACACGAACTCCAAGTTGTGTGCCACAAACGCCTGCGTGCTTGCCGCAGCTGTGTGGGTTTTTCCATATATATACTTGTCCTCGACACGTACAAGCCTTTTCTGGGCCATGAACACGTGTGCGGATGAAGCGTGTTCAAACTGTTCAAACTGTGAAGCGGATAGCATGTGCTGTATATAAGTATTCAAACTGCGGCATCCTTGAATCAGCAGCTGCAGTTGATGCTTGTTTACTGACTTACATGTACTTGTGCTGCTTGTGTGTTGGGCTTTGTGGACTTTGACCTGTGGTGTGTGATGTTGTCCTTGCCGGCAAGTGTCATGTGACTGACTCCAAACTGGCGCCCTTTTGTGTAACATGCACATTGTGATTGAATTGAGCTTGCCAGTTTGTCGAGCTAGAACTGCCACTCGCAAATACACCGTGGTTGGATTTGAACCATAGCGGAAAACGAGTTCCACACAGCGCATGCGCTTGTACATGTCCAAAGGAGCATGCAGCATGAACAATATTTATTTTCTGGCGGCTCCATTTTGGCTCTTGCAAAAACAAGGAACCTCCGATGAGGGATGCATGAAAGGCATGCACATGTGATACAACCGAGGTGGGTATGATGTACAAAGCTGCATCGGCACTGCACAAGGAGCATTCCACTACGCCACTACGCAGCCTGCATCTGTGTTGTACACTGTTCAAGAGGTGTACTTGCATTTGACAACTTGGTACCTGGTGTGCGCCATGGAGAGCCGCTTGTACACAGCTGATTGGCCGGGGAATGTCACCAAAGCAGCGCCTCGCCTTGACTTGTATAAGCATGCGCCTTGAAACTGCGAACCTTCATGAACTAACTGTACACACACGTGCACGAACTTGCGCCGCTACCAAGGATGTGCTGGCGAGGGCGCAGCAGTACAATGCGCCAAAGCCGGTGGCAGTGCGAATTCTGCCATGCAGGAGCGCGTACCAGCCGCAGACAAGTGCCTTCCTCTTCTACGACAGCGATGCGGATATGACGGAGGCGCTGAAGGCGTTTCGGGCGGCGGACCACCATGCAGAGCGGGCTCGGCCGCCAGCGGCAGCAGCGGCACCAGCGACGCCAGCACCAGCACCACCCCCCCCTCCCCCACTACCATCCTTTCCACCACAGCCACCGCAACTGCAGACACAACAACCACCACTACCACAGCCACCACTGCCACCACCACCACTGCCACCACCACTGCAGCCACAGCCACCACGGCAGCCACCACCCCCGGCACCTGCTCCACGGCCATCGGCCCAGATGAAAATCCAAGCTGTTGCGCCGGTGGTGTCACGCGCTGTGAGCCCAATCACACCGCCGAAAAGGGCCGGCCCCGTCAGCAGCCCGACAAGCCCGCCGCCGGCAGACCTGGTGGGTGTGATTCAAAGCATGGCGCGTCTAGCTGCTTTCAACGGACCTGGGTTTGAGGAGCGAACTTTGCGGGAGCAAGACCAAAATAAGTATCAGTTCCTCTTGCCGGACAACGAGTACCATGCGTACTATTGCTGGCAACGGGATCTGGCCGTTCAGGAACGCGCGGAGCGGCTAGGCGGCCGAGTTCCTGCTGGCGAGGGCGCTGGAGTTCCTGCTGGTTCCGGAGTTCCTGCTGCCAGTTCTTCCAGGCCACCCCCTGAGAAGCGGAGGAAATTCGATGCCTTCGGAACCCCGCGTTCCTCGAAGGCTGGGCTTGGGAGTCGTGTGAATGTGTAAGAGGTGTGCTTGGATTGTACACAAAGCGTTGCCCTTTTGCATGTACAATGTATACCACACTTCTTTGCTTGTACATCTATCTGTGCTTCACATTGTGAGTGTACGATATGTACGCACGTTTCCGCCGGCTGGTACACACTTTTGTGAGGCGCTCAGGACCCTCATGAACGCTGAGAACTCTGAGGAAGATGAGAATGCTGAGGATTCAAAGGCATAGCGTGACATGCACACAGCTGTGTACAATACAAGTGTACAATGTACAATTGCACGAGTGTACAACTGAAGACTCTTTGCAGTTGTATTTTCATTAGACTTGACTCCGTTCGGGCTTCTTCACTGGCCAGGCGTACCCGTCAAGCGCGCCCGCGCAGCCCGTCCAGGCGTCAGCCTGGGCTATCTGCGCCGCATGTCATGTGTGCGTTGCCGGACAGGCTGTGATCTCTGGGTCAGCCAACCCGGCGACAAGGTTGGCTAAGGCGCTGCAACTTCAATGTTGTTCACCCTACTTGGATGCTTGTCAGGCCCAAGCTACGATGCCATCGCCAGACGAGGCCTTTGCGCGGCATGGTACACTGTTCTTGTGCCAGGAGAGCGACGGCGAAGACTCCTTGCCCACGGAATCCGAGGACTTTTGTGCTTGCCCACGCTTGTATGCATTGCCTTGCACTGATTCGCGCAGGAGCTGAGTCCGACATCGCCGGCTGAGGAGCCGGACGTAGCGTGGGATTACTTCTAGGCGGTTCAGGGGTGAAAAGGCGTAATCACAAAGGCTGCTCCCTTATAATTACAAGGTCATTTGCTTTGTACACCCTGACACGCGCTTGTGCACTCTTGCATTTTTTACGGTTCGCCGTCGTCTGCGCTTGTGTGCAAGTCAAGGGAGCCAATTGAAGTGACTAACGTGTGAGGGACTCAGAGACCACCATGTAGTCATGTATAGCGGCCTTGACTTGTATACCTTGCCCTGGCCTGAAAACTCTGCATTTAACGTATAAGAGCGCGGCCACCCAGCCAAGAGAGAATGTGAGCAACTCCTAGAGGAATGAAAAGAGAAACAATGCTTTCTATAAAGGCTGGTGTGGGACTGCTGCCACCGCTTCGGGCAGCGTGCTTCAATTTGCAGTCTCGATCTGCTTGGAAAAAAAGGCGCGGATTGGGCAATTTGCGAGTTTGTCAGAGCCTCCGTGACAGAAAACAATGAAGTCCCAGCCAAACTGCATCCAAACTGCATCCAAACTGCATCCAAACTGCATCCAAACTGCATCCAAACTGCATCCAAACTGCATCCAAAATCCAAACTACATCACCATGATGCACTTTGTACCAAAACTGCATTGGCGACACATGAAACTGCAACACGCCAATGCACTTTTGATACAGAGCCTCACCGGAATGCAGTTTCAATGCAGTTTGGATCAAAACTGCATCATCATAATGCAGTTTGGATGTAGTTTGGATGTAGTTTGGATGCAGTTTCAAACACAAGTGCATCATCATAATGCAGTTTGGATGTAGTTGGATGTAGTTTGGATGCAGTTTGAGTGCAGTTTGAGCACTCGGGGCTCTAAAATTGTGAAACCAATCACTGCGGGCAGCCATTTTCTTGAAGGAGGAGCCTCTTTTTTTCAGGAACAGCTCTTTTTTTTTAAGGGATAGCACAGTTGTGTGACCAGAGCTGCTCAATTTCTTGAAGAAACATCTAAAGATTTGGTGCAATTTTGCACAATTGGTGTGAGCCAAAGCGACTTGTACATATAGGCAGCTCCTGTTGTGTTTTCCTTTTGGGTTTATGGTGAGTCTTCTGTTTCAATCACAAGCCCCAATGTGTGGAATATGTTTTCCACTTTTTCTTTTGAGCTGTCATGCAACCTGTATAAACCTTATATATCTTGGGGTGGAGCATGGTGCAACTTTTCAGTAAACTCACATGGCACAATTTGTCCACCAAACTCCAAGCCTTGTGGCGCAACGCTGGCAGCAAGTTCAAGTGTAGTACAACTTACAAGAGTGTTTCCGGCTAACTCTCGCGTGTACAACTGCAGAATTCAACCAAATTCGCATCACAAAATATTTACAGAGCACAACATGGGTTCAAATTGGTGCAATATACTATTTTAGCTGTGATTGCCCAACACTGCCTCACAGTGCGAAACACTTGAGAAACCAATCCGGGCCTGAGAGTTTTGGGCGCTGCGGACTGTGGTGCGATCATGGGCGATGAGCCGGGCCCGCCGTTGAAGAAGCGCCGAGGTGGAATACAACAAAGGCTCCAGGCGTCTGCGTTAGAGAATGCGCCCAGCACTTCGAAGCTTGCCACGCACCTGCTGGAAGAGTTTGCTCTGGGAAAGAAATCCCCTCAAGAATGCCAGCGCCTTGCCAGTTTGGCAGTGAAAGACATGACAGCCGCTGGGGTTCTGTTAGAAAATATCCCCGTGGATTTGCGGAAGCTGAGCGAGTTGGGATCTGGAGGCAGGCACTTGAATAACTGCTACCGCGACATTATGCGGATGACTTGCAGAATTCCGTCCATCCCCATGCCCTTTTCAGTAAACATCCCAACCAAGCAGGGTGATGAGACTGCCGGTATCCTTCTCCCACATGTGATGTTTGCCAGCATGTACCACCACTACAGGGCGGCCTTCGGGCAGTACATCATGCCTGGCGGAGAGGACGCTCTTCAGGAGTTCTGGACCACTGGAAAGCGCATGCCGCAGCTTGCCAATCATCCAATCCTGCGAAGGGCCAATTTTGAGGCCAGGTGCGTGCCGATTGCGCTGCACGGGGATGAAGTCCCAACGGTTGGCCGGGGGAAGGTATGGTGCAAGCTTTCGCTGCTGCTGTCCTGGTTCTCCGTCATGGCCGTCGGCGTGCCGACCCTTCAGGCAATGAACTTGATTTGGGCGCACGCTCCGCAATGTGCGGTTGAGGGGCCTGATGGGACAGTGGCCGTTTTTATGCGCATCATGAAGTGGAGCTTTTCTGCCCTTTTTGCAGGGACCTGGCCCAGGCGGGATTGGCGGGGAGTTGCATATGAGGCTGGCTCTGCGGATGCGAATCGGGCCGGCGAGCCTCTTGCTGACGGCTATTTTGCATGCCTTATAGGCTTATGCGGCGATTTAGATTATTGCGCGAAATTCCTGGGACATCCACGATGGAGCTCCCATAGTGAGCCCTGTGGACTTTGCCGTGCCACCTTTCGAGGCCCTCTCACTTGGCTGAATTTTTCAGAGAACGCGCCCTGGGAAGGAACCCAATGGACACCCGAGACGTGGGCTCGCAGGCCGATTCGTTCCACCTGTCCTCTTTTCGAGATGCCCGGGTTTACCAGCATCGCGGTGCTCCCCGATTATATGCACAACAAATATTTGGGGTATGCGCAGTACCTGTTCGGCAGCGTCTTCTGGCTTCTCTGTTTCGTTCACATGGCAGCCGCGCCATTGCAAAACCTCAGGACCCTCGCCAACTTCATCATGAGCTTCCAGAACCGCCACCGCCCACAACATGGCGAGCGCTACCCTGCCAGGACGCTGCGCAAACTGACAATGTTTGTGAAGAAGCGAGACTTTCCAAAGCTTCGCGGCAAAGCCGGTCAAATTCGGGGATTGGAAGACGCAATGATAGCGATGTGGAAGCGCTATGGGGACTTGCACACCCGGGACGGTATCCGTATCAAGCTGTTGCTGGAACTCAGCCTGCAATGCGATGAAATCTTGGACTCGCATTCGCCTGCCGACGGGTACTGGGCACTGCCGCCCCCGAATGCAGCAGAGTTGGTGCGCAAACAACGACTGCTGGGTCAGCTGTACGTGCAGCTCTCAGAATCCTATGCTGCACAGGAGGTCCGGGTGTTCAATATGTCAGCCAAGCTGCACTATTGCCTTCACAGCGCGCTATGGGCTGACAAACTTCATCCCCATTTGGCCTGGTGCTGGCGAGGTGAGGACCTCATGGGCCGCATTTCCACCTTGATTAGCAGCTGTGTGAGCGGCCGGACGGACGTATCTGCCACCTTGAAGGCGGCAGAAAAGTATGGGCTGGCTTGCCACTATATGTGGTCTGCTGCTGACGGGCCGCGTCGCCTTGAAGGCCGCTAAAAGGTACAGGATGGCCAGTCTGCCTTTTTTGTCAAACCTGCTGCAGCTGCAAAATTGAAGGGCTTTCTGCTCGTGTTGCATTTGTCCTCTGCGCCTTCACAGTTTTGGGCTGCCAGTTGCACCTGCCCACACTCACAGTTGTATACCGTGGAAAGCCTTGTATGTTGCCGCTTGTGCACGTCACAGCACTTCTGCTGCGGAGTCGCTATATAAGCTCCCCCACCGCATGTACACTATATTTATAGTGGCACAGCCACCGCCGCTTGTACGACCGGCCACTCATGTATATAAAAAGAAATGCGTTGGACGCTTGTACTGCACCTGCCCACACTCACAGTTGTATACCGTGGAAAGCCTTGTATGTTGCCGCTTGTGCGCGTCACAGCACTTCTGCTGCGGAGTCGCTATATAAGCTCCCCCACCGCATGTACACTATTCATAGTGGCACAGCCACCGCCGCTTGTACGACCGGCCACTCATGTATATAAAAAGAAATGCGCTGGACGCTTGTACTGTGCGGAGCCGGCGTTTACAGGGTTGCGTCACGTGCCAGTTTTGAATTGTGGGCGGCCCACGTGTGAAACATCTGTTTGCTTCCCACTTGCATTGTGCGCAGATCATATAGCAAATGTAGACTTGTATTGCGGGCATGCCCAGCATTTCCAACGCTTGTGCTGCCGGCCGCCCGTGGGTTTTGCGAAGCTTCCCTCTTGTACTTATACCATTTTTTGCGCGCGCTTGTGCGGATTCCCTTGCAGTAACGAAAAGTTGGCAGTGTTGGTTCCAAGCAAAAATCTATGGACAATTGACATAAAATTGAGACTAAATTGAAGCTAATTTGAGGCTAAATAATGTTTCAACATAAATTTAGCCTCGCCTTATTTAGACTCATTTTGAGTCTAAATTCTTGTAGGAGTCTAAATCGCATCCGAGGCTATTTTTAGACTCAAAGGATCTTTCAGGTGATGAGGCTGTTCCCAAAGTGTCCAGAGTCAAAGTATCTGCGTGTGTCCCCTTTTCTTGTGTTAGTCTCCGCATTTGCCACGCTCTGAGGTTGAGAAGACATCGCTCTTATTGCCTTCGTTGCTGTCGTCTTCTAGGTTCTGGGATGGGAAGGGTTTTGCGGTTTTGGGTCTTTGTGTTTTACTGTTGCAGGGAGGGTTCAAACAAGAAACTTTGAAGGTTGAAGTGGAGAAGGGTTCGTATGAGACACTTTGAAGACTGACGTGGAGAAGGGTTCAATCAGCATGTTTTTTCAAATCTATGGAAATGACACTAAAACCCAAATCCCGAGCAACCCGACCAACCGAGCCTGTCCCTGAAAATAGTTCTAATAATTTCATATTATTAGAACTATTTAGATAATTATTTTATGGAGTAATGTCGCGAAGCTGATTAGGCTATTACTTTGTAATAGCGTAATGTCCATATGGTAATGAAGTGAAAGCATCAATATAAACCCTTTTATTTTCATAATTACTGAGAGATTGCTTTACTTGAGACATTGAATATATTTGATGCGACTTACTTCTGATGAAGTTATATGTGATTTCATGCTTTTTGTTTTGAAACAATGCTTCGTGATAGTTCTGATACGACAGTTCTTTTTTCACTTTGTGTTTCACTACACCTTTTGATTTCTTATGTTCATCAACCTCACCGTGAATTGTGAAGGCGTAAGATTTAGGTTTTAATCCGATGAATTTAGTAATGATTTTTCCATTCACTTCGTCCTTAAACATTCCTAAGACCTTCTTATTAGTTTTGTCATGACATGGATGCTCAACAGGATAGTCGCTAAAATCCATGTGTTGCTTTATATCATTGAAATCCTTATAGACATCATCAGTCATTGTTTGAATTACATAACTGTCAGTATCGGTATAAACCAGTTTTATGTTTTCATTATACTTCTTTTTCAATACATCATAGTAAAACTGATACATATGTAATTTGCTTAAATCTAAAATGCTCATTCCCAGGAAAATCGGTTTATCCAGTTTCAGCTTCGCTTTAGTTTTTTCAACTCCTACCAGATTTTCATTAATAATAAATCTGTTTTTGAATGTTGGATTATTAACACATTTTTCATATCTTACCTCATTATCAACTAATTCAAAATCCATATGGTTTCGCTTGTCTTCCATAGTTTTTCCGTACACCGCGTTATTCATTAATTTGAATAAATCTTTCTCAAAATCGCTTTTGGCTTCTTTCCTTTTACCAGTGTTGAAGTCAATCCACGGTTTCAACCATGCCCTCTGTTGAAATTTTATTATCCTATGGACTTTACCCATTTTCATTCCCATTTTCAAATAATACTGTAAAGTCTTGATATGAACCACATATTTTTCTTTATCCTTTAGATTTAATATTAACTTACTTGTTTTCTCGTCCTTGGGACTAGTCGGAGTGGAAATCATGCAATGTTTCGGGATATTCCAAATCAACTTCCATAATATAACCGAACTCATCGCTTTCATTCCATTTTTCAACACTGGGCGTTTTCTTTGCCCACTTGATATTTTTTAGCGGTAACTTCTGGGACATTGCTAAACCATACAAGTTATTCGCATCCAAGTAACTAATATAATTTGATGGCTTGTTCTCATCATATGCTTCCCCCATATACTTATTATTTGCCACTGCTAATTTATGACTAACCTGACACATACCACCTCTCATTCCCTTTTCAACCATCTCAAACATTTCTTGGTCATGCAATTGTTCTATTTCAACACCAGTTTTTAGAAGCATCGCGTCCCATGCGAAATTTGGCAACGTATAATAATGAGCGGGGTCTAAACCGTAGTATTCCATACACAAGTCTCTAAAGTTTTCAAATACATCGGTCAGTAGTAAAACATCAGTTCTTAAATACAGGTCGTGATACTGCCCGAGTGTTCTAATCCCGAAGTGCTTCCATACTTTCAGTGCCCTTTCATAATCTTTATCACTTACATGTTCTTCACTCAATTTACTGTAAAACGCTTCTTTCGGTGGTAAAGCCCTTTCCTTAAATCTTTCAAAATCATCAAAGTAGTCATAGGGATAAATACCCTTATCAGTCAATAAATCCAAATCTTCATCGGTTTTAACATACGGGTTTCTAACGCTGTATCTGAAATTGTTCTTCCAGTTCTCACGCTTTTTATCATCCTCATATTTACTCAACTTCACCAACTTATCCAACGAAGACGATAAGAAACTGAAACTGTCCTTGAATCAAAGATTTTTAAAACCAAAGGTTATAAACTTTTCGCTGTTCTGAGCGATACATTCTATTTTAGAATTCTTGTTCAGTTCGTGAGCCTTGTTGATGATTAAGTGGGCATCGTAGTTTTTAAGATTATGAAGAAACACAGGGATTTTATAATATCTCATACTAAATCGTAGATTGCAGTCCTCGTGGGCGCAACCTCTATACTGTCCCGTAAAGTGGCAATGGTCCCAACACTTCTTTTCACCTTCCTCAAATTTGTTTCCGCAAATGAAGCAGTTAGTGGCATTATTGAAGTCCTCCCAGTCCTCCTCGGTTTCAATACGGTCTTTGACCTCCTTCATTTTCTCAAAAACATCCCATTTCACTTTATGCATTCTTTCAACAAACTTATCCATACAATCTTCACCTCTGTATAAGTAAGGCTCACTACTTCCGGTTATAGCATTGACTACATTAATCATAAAACCACACGGACGATGATTTTGATATGATGTAGTTTTAGCTTTTGCCGATTTGCTTTTAACATCAATAGGCACAGTTAAACATTCAAAGTCGGCATAGATTACGAATGGAGCTTTAAGTTTCTTGAAATGGTTTTTGAATGCTATTGTTTCACCTGCTTCTGGCATTTCTATTTTTTGACCCTCAACTGCTAGACATCCTTGTTCTTCGTGTTTCTTTAAAAGTTCTTCGGTCTTGAAACCATGTGAGCAGGTTCTACAGTGATACTTCTTCGCCTTCATCTTGTTAGTCTGACTACTCATTAACTTATCGTAATTTTTGATATAAGCGTAATGCGATTTAACATCATCAGTCAATTTAATTAAATCGATTTTGTGTTGTGCTTGTGGGTTGTTGCTTCTTTTGTATAATAAAATAGTTTTACTATTCGTATCGGGGTTTATGTAATAAACATTGACCGATATGTGTTTGTTCTGTTCTTCAAATAGTTCAATCTCATCATTACCTACTGGAAAGTCTATTCCGTCCCATTTGATAAATTTGTCATCTACATATTTCTTATAATGATACATGTCGCAGGGATGGTCTTTTTTGTATATCTCATAAAATCCACATTGAACGGAATATTTAAAACATAAGTCGTCCTCATTTTTAATATTAATACAAGCCTTTTTGTTTGCCACCCAGTCGGGTAATGGAATGAATGATGAACCACGGGTAGGATTGTACCTATCATAACTGATGACTAACTTTTCAACTTGACCAAGAACCAATCCCGACTGAATGTATTCGGTTATTTCAATTTGTGTCTCAATGTCGTGCCCAATGTTGTTTAAGACGGTGTTCAACTCGTCGGGATTATGAATATTGTATCTTCTGCTTCTTAACCGCCTTTGAATAAGTTCGTTGTCGGGATTTTTGAATGATAAATCGGTTTCCACGATTATTTTCATGTTCGGGTTTCTGTTCAGGAATTCGGCCAGTCGTTGCTTCTGGTATTTTAAGTAGGATAAACCTTTCAACCCCTTTAATCTTATATCACTTACCGAGTAGGTGTTGGCGTATCCCTTGAACGCTTGTTGCTCGTCTGTGATTTTGGACTTGAATCGCTTGACATAATCCTGTAAGGGTCTACCTCTCGTTAGTTTTAGATAATTAGCACCTTTCATTAAAAGGCCATGCTTTCTATATCCGTCACTCCTCGCCACTTCCTTGAGTTTCGTGTTCAATACGTTTGAAACTGGTTTGTTCTTATCATATCTGTAGGTCTTATCGCCTATTTTGAGTTTTTGTGTTTGCCTCCCTTCTTTTTGTA